GTGGCAGGTGCTTGTAGTCCCAGCTACTTGGGAGGCTGAGGCCCAAGAGTCTGAGGTTGCAGTGAACTATAACTCCACAGCACTCTACCCAGGGCAACAAAATGAGACTCTATCTCAAAAATAAATTAATAAAAATAACTCTTCAATGGACTCAAGTGAAAGGAAGAGTCACATGTCTCTCACTTTTAAATCAAAAGCTAGAAATGATAACTGAAAAAGGCATGTCCAAAGCCAAGTTAGGCTTCGTTGTGCCGAACAGGTGGCCAAGTTGTTAATACAAAAGAAAAATTCTTTAACAATAAATTTAGTAAAGACTGTGACTCCAGTGAACACACAAATAGTAATGCAAAACAGCCTTTTTGCTGATTTGGAGAAAATTTTAGTGGTCTTTATAGAAGATCAAACCACCACGACATTTCTTTAAACCAAAGCCTAAACCTGAGTAAGGCCTTCATCCTCCAATTCTATGAAGACAAACAAATGAGGGAGCTGCTAAAGAAAAGTTGGACACTAGCAGGGTTTAGTTCATGAGACATGAAGTAACAAGGGAAGAAGCTGTCTCTATAAAAGTGCAAGGTAAAGCAGCCAGTGCTGATGGAGAAGCTGTAGCAACTTATCCACAAGATCTAGCTAAGACAATTGGTGAAGGTGGTTACGTGAAACAACAGATTTTCCATGTAGACAAAACAGACTTCTAGTGGAAGATGATGACATCTAGGACTTTCATACCTAGAGAGAAATCAAGGCCTGGCTTCAGACCTTCAGAGGACAAGCTGACTCTCATTAGGGGCTAATGCAGCTGGTGATTTGAACTTGAAACCAGTGTTCATTGACCATTCTGAAAATCTTAGGACCCTTAAGAATTATGCTAAGTCTGTTCTGCCTGCACTTCATAAATGGCAACAAAGCCTGAATGCCAGCACATCTGTTTACAGCATGGTTTATTGAATATTATAAGCCCATTGTTGAGACCCCATTGTTTACTAAATATTTAAAGCCCATTG